ACTGATATAAATAATTACACTCAGTTTGATGATTCCCTGCACCTTTAAGTTTTTTCAAGTCTGCTCACAGATGATGAAATGAAGGCAGCGAGTGACATAAATCTCCTAAACATAGAACTCCAGTACAATTCAGAACATGGATTTTATTTGATCTATGTCAACAGTGGATAGTCTGCAAAAACCTGGTTTCTTTTTTCAGTTTTGTTTTTTACAAACCACCTAATCTCTGTTTATGAACACTCTGCCATTATTCAATGTGAACATTGCTTGTTGATCTGTAAACCCTTTTACTCCGGACCATTTTGTTGTCAAATGATGACTTCTGTTGCTTTGTAGTCAATAAAAATAATCACATATGTTTATCAGAATTAGTATTTATTAATGAGAATGTATCCCCCCCCCTCTCTCTCGCTCTCTCTCTCTCTCTCTCTCTCGATATTTCCAATTATTTTATTTACTAATTAATTAATTTAGAATAAATTTGTTAGCGTCTGTTTTTGAGTGCACTCTCTCAAGCTACAGTCGGTATCAAAGAGATCTTAAGTGCCCTTTGTTCACGAATAATGAAACGTCGAGAAAACCTGTAAACCACGACATACTCACCCCTTTCTTAATTTGCTCTCATTCTCTTTCCCTATAGAAACACTTTCTGCCTGTGAAGCAAAATATTTGCACGCCATAGCGACAAGGAGCTTACTGCATATTCAGCCCGGTCTCACGAAAATGCATATAAATAGTACGCCAAATAAAAACAAAAACTCGTATTGATACGCAAAAATGGACTTTGGCGCGTATATGCTACGCACGTGTTTGGCGTGCATAGGCCTATAATACGCAGTTTTCGCGTGCATATGATACGCATCTACCCCACAACCCTAATCCTACCCATCGCGTAGCATATACACGCCAAAGTCCATTTTTGCGTATCAATACCACGAGTTTTCGTTTTTATTTGGCGTACTATTTATACGCACTTTCATGAGATCGGGTTAGCATATTTAATGCAAACTGATCCTGTATATTGCAGTGTCTGTTTTAACACATTTTGTTTAAATTTCTGTAACTTGTGATGTTTTTTTTTTCTCTATTTTTGTATTTCAAACGTTGATATCCCCATATTTGACTGCTAGTAATGAAAATACTTTAGAAACCTACAACTTTTCACTAAAACATGGACATTTAAAAAAAAATTTTTTTCACTAATTTGCCGTGATAATCAAATTTACTTTATTTTAAAAGAATAATAATGGGATCTCCCATCATCTTAAAAAAATTGCCTGGTCAGATATAATATTTCTAGTCTATTTATTTATTTATTTATTTATTTAAATATAGCCTACATGAAAACCGTATGTGGATATATGAAATAAATTAACAGAACCTGGCGATTTAAATGACACATTTTTTATGTCATTTACTATTCATAACTAAAATTATAAGCAACATATTAAACTTTCTTACCTAAAAACATTTTTCCTGAATATATTATTATTATTATTATTATTGTTATTATTATTAAATTAGACACCTTGCTGTCTAGTGATCCCTGTAATTTCAAATTGGTTCAATTTCCTTGTATATGTAAACATAATTAATCAATTTAAAAATAACAAAACTGTATTACAAGCAGTTAAATTCTATATTTACATATTATGTAGCCAACATGTTGTTTATCATAAGATATTACTCCAGAGACATTTTTTTTTTTAGGATTACAAAGCATTACAAAGGATATTGCATTAAGACAGTGAATGGTGGTTTATCCATGCATGGCTCCTGCTTTATTGTCTGACACCCACACAAAGGCAAACTAACCTCAACGGAAACACTGTGGCATTGTCACATTATAGAACAATAAAATATTTTGTATTAGACCAATATTATCAACATTTTGTACAATGGGGAGAGCTGTATTTTTTTCAAGGTGAATATTGATGCACTAATGTGTTTTCCCAGACGTTCCTTTTGAAGGAACTGAAATAATAGCACTTATTTGAAATAATAAATTGTCCTTTATACCTGGTGATCTCTTAAGAAAGTCATTTCTTTCTAGCAGTCCCTAATATAAGCAACAAAGCCCCCTCTTGTTATGTGTGTTTCAGAAACATGTCCCTGAAATTTTATTGATCAATTGGAACATAAGCCTGAACTTGTAGTGTTATATTTAAAAAAAGACCTTGAGTTGATAACCATTGTGTGCATGCTTTATCTTTCGCTACTCCATTAGAACTGCTAGATATATTTCCAGAAAGCATTTGAGGGCCCCAAACAAAAATACACAGACAAAGGATAAGTTTTTTAAATACAATAGGCCTATAATATTAATTGTTAGCAATCCTCAGCATCTCCCCAGTGTTTAGCCTAGACAAGATGCTGAAACCACTCCATCTTGGTCTACCCAAGATGGGCCTTAACCTTGGACCATATGACCATGCTTTAAATCTGAGGGGGTCCTGGAGGTGTGTGGGCAAAGTCATGCCTTCCACATTATATGCTTTAACATGGATAGCAAATCCAGCACGGTTAAACAAACTTAACCTTCATTTGTGAAACGGTGCAACTCAAAGGGCAGAAAACGACTTGTGAAAGTAATTACCCCTAGGGAAAAGCAACTGGGGGAGAAAGAGAGAGACACAGAGTGGAGGTAAAGAACAGAAATCATTTAAGATGAAGTGGCATTTTAATGAGTTTGCTCAGACATTGATTTTCCCTAGTAATCTTTTATTAATATGCAGTGGGTGTTCTGTCCCCAAGCCCAGGGAGGGGTCACAGCCTGTCAGGACCCCTACTCCCTCAAATAACACCCCAAAGCCCAGGGAAAATGGTATTTTAGCAAAGGCAAACATTGTCCTGTCTTGGCTTAAGGGGCGAAATAGCTGTTTATTTTAAAACTTGTTCCTCTTTGCCTGGATAAGGGACGTACTTTGAAGAAGAGCGGCAGGAGGTGAATATATATATAAATGAAATGCATAAAATTGAAGCTTTGCTTATTGATTTTATTTCTTTCTTGAAATGTGAAGTTGTAAGTGTTTAAACTTCACCCAATTGCAGCATTTCACTAGAAGGACAAACATATTTACAATTGTGCAGAATAAATAATTACATAAAAAATGCATTCTAGAAAGATGAGACAGTGAAATGTATTAATTTGATGGTAAACAATTTGTTTTATTTCAATTATATTTATTTAAACATATTGTGATGAAACATATAGCGTTTCAAATAATTTCATATTACGCATTTGTCAGTGATTTCAGTTTCTTTAAGTTGAGAAAGAAGTCCCAAAGATGAAAGCATGAGAAGGATGGTTATTGTTTTTGCCTTTTCTTACAGAATACTGTATGATAGCTTTTATCTTTAATATCAGAATTCTTCATTATAGCAGCTTAAAATTATGTTGTTATATAAAGACTAGAGAATCATTTTTAACCCAGGATTACTGAACGTAGACACACCATTCATCTTTTGAAACGTATTTCTGAAGGTTGTTGATTAGACTGCAACCAATTTCTCAAGGTACATTCAGTTACAAAGGGGTTGTCTGCCACCTAGTGGCGATTACAATAAATGAGGGTAAAGGGAAAGTTTATCTAAAAAATAAAATGTTGTCATTATTTACTTACGGCATTCCAGCGCAGCATTTTCGTTCTTGAAACAGAAAGGGGATAGACAGCTTTTCAATACAAGAAAGCGTATTACTAATTTAAATGGCAATCTACAAGAAGAAAGATTTTAAAGAGTAGGCTACCATAAAACCACTCCATATGAATGGTTCCTCCATATGGACGAGCAATTTTCCTGTGCACTTAATTATAATCCGCAGTAGCGTTTCGAAAAGCGCCTGTTGTGATCAGTCACATGACATGATGCGTGAACAGATGGCGTTTGTAGAGCGGCGTGTCTAAAGGCGTCATTTGAGCACGACAGCGAACCATATTTCGATTCAGAAGAATATTGGTCACCTGTCATGGATTACTTTTATAATACTTTTTTTTAATTTTATTTTTTTAGCTTGGCGTTTAAAATCACTGTCTGCTTTTATTGCATGGAAAAACTGCCTAAGGATATTCTGCCTGTCATCTCCGTTCATCTTTTAAGGAAGATAATATTACGTTGGAACTGCATGAGGGTGAGTAATGCCAAAATGATAATATTTTCATTTTTGGGTGAATAATTATATAGTATTATATAATTATATAATACTAATTATTGTATAAGTATATAATAATTATTATTATAAAAATAAAATTATATGTTTTGAGTGCCAGTAGAGGGCAGTGTGCGTTGATTTCTCAGCAACACTGCAAAATATCAATGGACAGGACAAGTCAAGTTTGTTTACATAACTATATACTTTAATACTTGAGAAATGCATGAAAATATACTCTTCATGAAATAATAAATATAAAATTTCTGTATGAACAAATGCACAATTTACAAAATATAAATGTCATCTCTGTGAACTAGGCCTATTTAAGTTATCTGTCAGTGACCATATCACATAATAAGACTCTATTATATAATTTAGGTGTTTAACCTTTATATCATATTGATAATTTTGGTATAGTTTCTTTTGCCCCATTTCATTAGAAAAAAATGCACATTCATATTTTGCTGTCTGCTCTGATAGAGCAATAGGGAACAGTCATGTGGGTATTCACATAACAAGGTACAATCTTCGCTGATTTCTATGAATCAACTCTGGGCAGAGTCATTGCCTAAGTATAACAAAATGTTCTTGTTTTTCTCTTATTGTTATTCTTACAGACTACCATTCTGCCAGATGTAACAATTAGAAATTACTCACACACATCTACTGTTACATACTGCGGCAACTAATTTACTGTAGGCAGACACCCAAAATTGATCTAAGCAGTACCTAAATGTACTTCACTGCCATTTATTTTTACCACAGGCAAAGTCACTCAGATAAAATTCTGATTGAGTTGGTTTGTGAACTTCCAAGAGATCCATTTCCCTCTTCAGGAAGTGAGAAGCAGTTGTGAAATGAGACAGGCCAAAAGGCAACTCAGCGCATATGTTGTGTTTGGAGCAGCGGAGTCAAGTGCGCTGGGGTTTGTGGGCTGGCTGGGGGGCTTCAGTCTGTCTCGGAGCGGCGTTCGTCTTTGCTGTTGTTCCTGTCGTGTTTGAGGAGGTTCCACTGTCACATAACCATTGGTTATCCTTATATACGGGTTTGGAGTCGTGCTGCAGTCAACATGGAAACAAAAATGTGGATTTTGTTAGTTAAAATCAGCTTTGAGTTCCATGTTGTGGAAATGTGGTTTGTGGCATGTGTTGTGTCCTCACCTGTCTCCTATGCGCACCCACAGGTCACTGAACAGCCGTGGTCGACTGTGTGCATGATGGGTTTCGCGGGGGCGCTTGTAGCGGCCAAACTCCTCTAGCTGGCTGAGACTGTCTGGCAGCAGCATGTGGGGGAGTTCTTACTGACTGATCTCCTCTAGCTCAGGAGGTTCTGATGTCCATTCCGTCACTGACTCAGAGCTGCCTTCAGTGGGATTCATAGTAGTCCCCTCCACCTCAGACCAGTTCCTTCTGTGAGAGCACATGGAAGTTATTAAACTTGTGGGAGGCAAAGGTTTAATGTGAAATTGTGAAAACATGAGTAGTTGATCATTATATATGTGCTTAAAATGAAGGATGCATGATATTAGAGATTATTATTCACTCTTAAGAAAAATGGTTCTAAACAGTTCCAGAAAAGGGTTCTTCAGCTTGTAACAATAGCAGAACCCTTTTTGGTGCTATATAGAACCCTTTTTAAAAGGTTCTATAAAGAACCATTGCTATGTAGGACCTTAATGCTATTATAAATAACCTTTTTAATGATGTTTATTTTTAATAATATTGGTATATTACTATGTTTATATCATTAATATTAGTATTAATAATATTATTTTATAAAATATTTATTAATATTTTTTCCCCTCTGTCTGCCTGGTCTTATAATATCTTGTAGCCTCTATTAGGGTTTTACATTAAAACAACAACAGCCTGTTGTTTGAATTAGGTACTTTTTTTATTGATGTGAAATTGTAGCAAACATGTCAGCGCTCATAACAACAGTTATTAGCTGGATACATTAATAAATGACAATTGACAGTGAACATGAATAAATACATAAAAAAGTAAAACAAAATAGAAAGAAAATAGATGTGATGATATCTTCAAAATCCTGGCTTCTCCAATTTTGGTGTGATTGAGTGGCAGTTTCTCTGCAGATGATGAGGTTGTGGGATGTGATGCATCTGAAATACACAACTGAGTTTAGTGTGTTACAGTGTGTCTATTTGTTTATGTAAAAACAGTTATGTTCACGAAGGCCAAAAGTAGCAAAAATGGACCGTATGTCACAATGTTAAAAGGAACAAATGGGATAGCTTTAATGTTTGTAATGTGTGACTGGGTATGTTTATGCATAAACCCAAGTAATAATAAAAAAAAAAAAATCTAACGATATGGATTATATATTAAATATCTCTGTTGCTTAGTGGAGAATAGGAGAGAAGTATCCTTAGCTTAACAGAGCTGCTCATACTTGCATGTGACCAAAAAACTAAAGAGAGAAAACCTTTAGCCATGAAGAGAGAAAACCCTTAACCATTTAACCAAATAAGCATGCCAATTAAATATCAAATATATATCCAATTTGGACAAATACGATAAATAAAATATCTAATATTGTATAATAATACACTGAACAAAATTATAAACGCAACACTTTTGTTTTTGCCCCCATTTTTCATGAGCTGAACTCAAAGATCTAAGACTTTTTCTATGTACACAAAAGGCCTATTTTGCTCAAATATTGTTCACAAATCTGTCTAAATCTGTGTTAGTGAGCACTTCTCCTTTGCCAAGATAATCCATCCACCTCACAGGTGAGGCATATCAAGATGCTGATTAGACAGCATGAATATTGCACAGGTGTGCCTTAGGCTGGCCACAATAAAAGGCCACTCTAAAATGTGCAGTTTATCTAAAAAAAAAGATGGTTCTTTTCATGTAGTAATGGTTCTATTTGGAACCATTTCGTTCTGAAGAACCCTTTTTAACCCTTTAACTCTTTTTGTCAAAATTAGATATATATTTGTGTGACCCTGGACTTAAGTCTTAAGTCGCTGGGGTATATTTGTAGCAATAGCCAAAAATACATTGTATGGGTCAAAATTATAGATTTTTCTTTTATGCCAAAAATCATTAGAGTATTAAGTAAAGATCATGTTCCATGAAGATATTTTGTAAATTTCCTACTGTAAATATATTAAAACTTAATTTTTGATTAGTAATATGCATAGCTAAGAACTTCATTTGAACAACTTTAAAGATGATTTTCTCAATATTTAGATTTTTTTGCACCCTCAGATTCCAGATTTTCAAATAGTTGTATCTCTGAAGATATTTTGTAAATTTCCTACCGTAAATATATCAAAACTTATTTTTTTATTAGTAATATGCATTGCTAAGGACTTCATTTGGATAACTTTAAAGGTGATTTTCTCAATATTTTGATTTTTTTTTGCACCCTCAGATTTCAGATATTCAAATAGTTGTATCTCGGCCACATATTGTCCTACCCCAACAAACCATACATCAATGGAAAGCTTATTTATTCAGCTTTCATATGATGTATAAATCTGATTTTGACACTTAAGACTGATTTTGTGGTCCAGGGTCACATTTGATATTTAATTGGCATGCTTATTTCCCCACATTTTAAATTTAGATTATCTTTCCTGTCATTTAACTCTCACTCAAATGTTTAAAAAACATTGATCATTTCATAATGTTAATATTTGAGCAAATCTCAAAATGTTAATTAAGTATTTTACAATTAACCATTTACAACACAACTCTCAAGTTATCGATATGGGGCAGAATTTTAATATTGACGTATTTTAATAGAAATTCTGTTGTAGCATTCAAAGGGAATTAATTTTGAATTATTTTAATTAAAATGTATTATTAATAAATATTTTAACATCAGCATTTATAGCAAAAATACAAACGTATTTACATAACGCACCGTGCCTGACGAAGACCTGATGGTCGCAATGTTGCCGCAATAAATTATTTTTATGGAGCAGTTACATCAGTGTGCGGACAATACGTTTGTATTTTTGCTATAGTTGGACTTTTTTTTGTCCTGCACCTGAGCCCTGTGTGGGTTTGTGGGATGTGCGCAACTTTCTTAAACATCAGCATTTATGACATAAAAATAATTCTCAGAATATCTGTATTGGTCTGAATTGTTGATATTTAATATTTAAAATAGTGGACTTTTTACATATGAAGGTTATTTGAGAACTGGGCAATGTCAGGAGACACCTTTGAAGTACTGAAGATAACATCCTAGTAGTGTTTTAAAAAGCTCTGACTTAGTGTGAGTGTGTGTGGACTTCTTTGGACTTCAAACAGCTTGATATCAACCTTTCGGCTTGCTAAGAATTTACAAAGAGCCAGTGAGGTCAAAACCACAACCTCAATTAAGTCTTGAGCTCCCTTACTGATATCCAAGTTTAGGCTTACATACCAATCTATACTGCGACTAAATGATAGTAATAGTATTATATAACCATGACATTTGTTTCATCAATTTTGAATAAAGAACTGAAGATTAAAGACATTTGGACATAGACTTTACCATAGTGTACCAGTAGGGCGTAGTATTGTCCAAGATTATGCCACTCTATACTTGTCACCTCCAGCTGGTGAGTGCCCACTGGGGCATTTTATTGCAGGAAACACCAGCCAAAGCCGTGCACACTGGGTAACCATGACGACATTTGGTAAACCGTCCTTCATTCCGAACTGCCTCATTGTGGTTAGGCCAACCCGCTGTGTTTAGTACGTCCACAAAGTGTTTTGTTTGGTTTGAATCTCGTAATCACCCATATGTGCACCACAAACACTACAGGACTGTTTTTGGGCCACGAGTTTGTGGTTCATGAGCTTTTAGTAAACATATGTCCGGCTGCCATTGCACGTTGTTTTACTTGCCCATCATATCACCTTGTTTTTTCGCTCTACAGTGGAGAGAAAGTGAGCTGAAGGGAGTGGGCCTAAGAAAGCTGCAAGGGTTCGTGTTTCTAAACCGCAGTCAGTCCGTCATTCAGCTGGTCCATCTAGCTGTCAGCTTGTTACCACAGCCACTGTCATCATCTCCAGCAATCTGAGAACCCTTCACGCTCTCTTTCTCTTCCTCTATAACTTCCACTGCCACAGTGTGCCAAATGAAAATGTTTGCACTAAAATTTGCAAAAGGAGGTTTTTCAAATGACATCGGCTGGAAGTTGTGGTGGTGGTTGGGTGCTTTGTGAGTTTGAACTACCTTTCTGGGACCATTCAATTGCTCGGCATTCTCATTTTTCCATTTTTGCCTTTGTTGGGTGTTGGAGCCATTACAACAGTTATTTAATGAGTACAACCTACACAACCTTTGGATCACCTCTTTCCAGCTCCCCTAAAGACCTGTTGAGTAATGGTATGAGTATGCCAACGATGAAGGTGGGTTGTCTCTGTTTGAGCAGGCATAGCACCCCTCTGTGAGGCATGAGCTGGCAGAGCGCTGGTCTGGCCCACTCCGTCATGGTTAGCAGGAGGAGATCATAGGCATAGTTTAGCTCTGTTTGCAGTTTAGCACAGTAAGTGAAATATCCTCTCAGTGAATTACAATGTGCTTGGGGTTTCTATGTGGTGAAATACGATGCATTGCTGAACCTGTGTACGTAGTACACGTCATTATATTCTGTGCCACAGAATATTCAGGAAAGTTTCATAATTATTATGTGTGTGGGCAAGGTATTGGCATGAGAAGAAAAGGAATTAGAGGAAGACAGAATCTAAAGGAAGGGAAGGGTGAAGAGGAGAACTGATAGATAGATAGATAGATAGATAGAAGAAAGATAGATAAATGTTGTATTTAGTTTATATATTAATTCATATTTAATAAACTAGGCTAACTTTTGTGGACCAGGGTGGAAACATTTCTTTGCATTGCATTTCAGTAAATTTTACTTGTCAATCCAATTCCAAATCCAATTCAACTGTGGTCAACACCCTCATAAACTCAGTGGGTGTCAATTGTTCAATTCTGAATTTTGCACAAGCCTGGTGCGAAGTGTGTATGAGTGTGTGTACTTACTGTGTGATGGTTCCTTGCGCTGGTGTATGCTCCACCTCATAGCCCTCCTGGCGCAGGATGTCTAGTACACTGTGATTCCCCAGGAAATGACCTGCAGCACACAAGAAACAAGTAGCAGCCATGTTAAAGAGGTTTCAGGTGGGTGTGGGCAAATATTAAGAGAAAGCAGATAAGGTCATCATGTAGTCATGGGGGTGACGCTGTCTCAAGAACCCTCCTTTTCTCTTGTTCTTGATCTCAAGGTGCACTTGTTCCTTCAAGAATGAGGCCATATAAAATGCCCCCGTGCTACTGTCTCTCCGCCTTGGCTCTCACGTATAATACACTCATAATTCCTTCACTCTTGAGACATCAAATGCACATGTTCCAGCGCCATGCTGATGAAAGCTGTTTCACTTCTCTGAGCAGCCAATAATCCTGTGTGTCACTCAACCCAGCAATAAGCGCTAATACAGCCTAACCTCATCGCCTCAGCATGCTCCACGAGTTTATTAACGGCACGCTGAAAATCTTCAAGGCTGTCTCTTTTCATGCTTCTTTATCATCATTATTTTGCTGATCAGTTGTGAAGACAGGGCGGGGGAGGGGGAGCGAGGGGCCCGCGGCGCTTTCTTGGCCAGCAAGTTCAAAGGCTGCCGGGGCGACTGGCATGGAGCGTGAAGAGGCTACCGCTGAGTGTCGGTCAGATCAGATGGACAGATTACAGTGTTACGCCCTTCGGTAGGGTGGAAAGAAACAGGCAGCCCATTGAGGCCGGTCCCGTTGTGTTCCTCACCTCGCCTCCCATCCCAGTGCCAGACTCAGACAGGTTCAGTGACACAGCGGCACGATCAGCAGGCTTTCACACCCACATCCTCTGATTGATGTTCTTATTAAACTCTGTTAGAATGTACTTTTATGGAAATTTTGAGTAAAACACCCATGCTCCTGTATTCTGCGTGTGAGGTCGAGCGGTTCAATTTATGTGCTGTATTTATTTGCAGGGTTCCAGCCACATAAATAACCCAGCTGGACAGAGCACTCTCACAGACGTTTGGCTGCTGGAGGAAGTAGTTACTCGAGAAGCGTTCAGTTACCAGAGGAAGTAGTTAGCTTATGTTTCAGGCTGCGGTGAGGTACGGGTGGTCAACTGGCTACCAAATTGGTGAGGTTTTTCTTGGGGGTGACTTGTTAAATCCACATGCGGAGGTTCTTGGGTGCGTTCAAGTCATGTTAGAATTGTATTTACAAGTTAATCGCACATGAACGCTACCACCAAGTCGTAATTACATATGGAAAACTCATAGACGTTTGGTTACTGAAGGAAGTAGTCACCTGGCTACCAAATTGGTGAGATTTTTCTTGATTGGGATTTGCTTAGGGACTTTGGTGCATTCAAGTCATGTCAGAAAGATTGTATTTATGAGTAGAGCACACATGAACGCAACCACCAAATCGTAATTATAAGTAGGAAACTCGGAACTTCCTTGAAGCCCAGAGTTTCCGAGTTGGTGACATGAGAGTAAGAAAATATGGCATGGGCAATAGATGTAACGTTGATGGTAAATTTAAAATTAATTAAAAGATTTTTTTCTATTTACAATAAAGCTAAATTGCATGTACAAAATATGATAGTATTGTACAATTTCTATAGAATATGTAACGATTCAATTTACAGCACTTTCATAAATTGAATAAAAACGCAAAAACACACCTGATTCACATTCTTTATTCATGATTTTGAAGAGTAAAAAAATCTTGCTGAATTTTTTTGTAGAAAAGGTACATCGCCATCTTGACTTGTACCTGACGTTAGGGCTGCGCAATAATGGTCAAATGGATAATCACGATTATTTCTCTCAAAAACAAAACCCCGATTATTAATCATGATGATTATTGTCATTTTAAATCTTTTTACATTTTATCAGAATTAGTGCATTGTCACATAAACACAAATCAAGAAAACATCAACTTGCATGGTTTGCTCATAGATTTACATAGTCACAGCAACCAGCACAAACAATGTTGTGAAAGAAAACAGACTGGCTTTATTACACTTTTATTTGAGCAGAATATCTGATAGAGATCACTAAGCTCCAACTTACATGTTTGCCTGTGTTTTCAGCTCATTTTAGTGCTTTTTCCATAATGTTGAGAGCGCATGTACATGGTTGCCAGGTTGGGAAGAATAAGTAAACCATGAAAAAAGCTCTAATTGGGAGATTTAAACTCTTGAAATATGGCAACTGCAACCATGAAAGCTTGTGGAGGCTTGTTACCAATGCAAGATAACAAACGCAGAATTATTGTTTAGGATAAATAACCAAATGTCGCAGATGATTATGTTTAATAAATCGAGTGCAGAAACCGTGATCACCATTAATATACGATTCCTAGTGCAGCCACACCTGACGTCGTAATAGTGACTTCCCAACTCATAAATACGAACTTCCCAGCAGGACTTGAGTGCACCATTACTGAAGCCCTCTCCTTTAATTAATGCAAGGAGGCAGGCGCATGCTACAATACAAATGAAATACTTGCTCTCTTTCTGTGTAGGCACCCACACCCAAAACACTGGCACGCGATAAATAAATATACACGCCCAGAAACAAATAAACAAACCCATACAGACTCCGTACACACAGACTCACTCCACTTCAGGAGCTTCAGCTCTCCAAAGGCTGATACAGTTCATTATGTATATGTGTGATGTTTATTTTGTGGCCGCAGCTAGCATATTCTGATTACCAAGAACAAACTGCTGTTAAGAAATCCTGAAACAGCCCAGTACACGCACAGCCAGTACACGCAGGCCTTGAACAAATCCATTTGAGGCTTAGCCAAAGCTCCTGGCTTTTCGCTAGTTAGGCTCAGAGCCTTTGTCCAAATCACAGAGATGAGACAGGTGCAGTGACTGTCAGTTCATTCCTTCTGATTCCATCTGAGTTCAGCACAAGTGGTGTTTCCATTGTTGGAATTGGAGTATTTGTTTTTCAACCCTTGTCTCTATTGGTGCATGGAGCATGGTGGGAATGATCCCATGGATATAGGTTAGAATCACAGGGAACATGCATACCTTAAATTCACTGAAAGTGGCTTTAAATAACAGTGTCTGCCATATTCATAAATGTGAATGTTTGACTAATGTCCTTACAGCCTAGCTTTTACTGTAATGTGCAAATCTACAGTTTAAACTATGTGCTCTCTCTCACTCTGACTTTCATCAGACTTGTTCCCGTTTTCTCTCTTGGGGTAATTAGGGCTCTCAATCACTTTTTAGCAGGACTTGTTTGGTGCATTTATACTTTTTCTGAACTCCCCTCTCCTCTCGACCCTTCATCGTCGTACTCAGAAGATGTACTGTGAATGGTTCAAACATTGGTTTGAGTATTTTGGGTTGCGTCCAAACATGTCAGCACCTTCATGATACATGATCCATGACACACAAGAGCATACATACACATACAGCCAATATTTTAGGCATGTGAGCAGTTTTACACAGCAGTTTTTTAGTTTTAGTCATAGTTATTGCCCGTTTAAATTTAGTGAAATTGTTTATATGTAATATTTGTATATTTAAAAAATATATAGTAATTGTACTAAAATAGCATATAATTTGATACATTGATATGCAAAATAGCCCAAACTTAAATTGAGTGAACAAAAAATTGAAAGCAAACCAGTTACGTTACAGTTCAGGCATTCAGATCTATGACTGAACATACTCTGCATAGTTCTTCTAAAAGCATTGTTAGTGCATTAATACATTGCAGTGTTTTTTTTT